CCAAGAAGAACACTCCACCCAAATGCTATGGGTGTGGTGAAATTGGACACATCAAACCAATGTGTCCGAAGCTCAAGAACGAGAAAGACAAGAGGGCACCGAAGAAGCAACGTGCCTACATCTCTTGGGAGAACGACGGCTCCGGGAGTGAAGACTCAGAAACGGAGGAAGTGGCCAACTTATGTCTCATGGCCATTGAAGATGGTGATACATCAAAAGAGGTAAGTGATCAAGAACCTTATCCCAATGAGCCTTTAACTCTTAATGATGTTGTTTGCATTGTAGAAGATTTAGTAGGAATGTTCAAAAAGGCTTCCAAAGAAAATAATGAAGTTAAACAAAAAATCCTGATTTTTGAGAATGATGTAAAAGAACTCAAAAATATAAATGATAAACTTAAACAAGAAATTATCTCTTTTGGAAAAAGGCCACAAGAACCTTCAACTACTTCTTCTTCTACATGCTCTAGTTGTACTTCATTAAAAGCTAAAATTGCTAGTTGTACTTCATTAAAAGCTAAAGTTGCTAGTCTAGAAAAACAACATTTGTTAAAGCTAGGGGGAATAAAAATGCTAGGATAAATAATCAAACTAGAAGAGCACATCCTAGCAAACCTAGAACTCATTACACTCAACCATATAGGATGAATAATCCAAATATTATTTGCCACTATTGCAATATGATAGGTCACATTATACCCGTGTGCTTCACCAAAATTAGGCATTTTCAACAAACGCACACACATCGCACATATGCTAACCAAAAAGGACCCAACAATACATGGGTACCTAAACCATCTCCTTGATATCTTCTTGTAGGTGTGCTTGAAGGCTTCGAGTACCTCTTGGTATCTCGATAGCGGATGCTCCAAGCACATGACCAGAGACGCATCCAAATTTAGGAGTTCAGAGTTTTTCAAAGGTGGCAATGTTGTTTTTGGTGACAACAACAAAGGAAGGATCATTGGAAGTGGCACCGTCGGGAGAGACAATGCTACAACCGTTGAGAACGTTCTTCTCGTTGAGGGCCTCACGCACAATCTTCTTAGCATTAGTTAATTGTGCGATAGAGGTAACCGTGTCATCTTCGATTCTAGTAAATGCATTGTAGAACGCTTGTGTGACAATAGGACTATTCTTTGTGGTAGTAGAGTGGATAACATTTACATGTTTGATCTTGAAAATTCCCCGTCTACTTTAGCTAAGTGTCTCATTACCAAAGAGGAAGAAACGTGGCTATGGCATCATCGGATAGCTCACGTTAACATGGACCATCTTGATAAGTTGGTTTCAAAAGACTTAGTAATTGGTGTTCCTAAACTTTGTTGGAACACGGGTTTACGCCTTACGTCGTACTAAACTGTGTTCGGTTTTTATGACAGGTTTTGATAATGCCAAACCGCCGCGACATATCGAAGATAAAGTGAGCAAAACTAAGGCGAAGGAACATGGCGTGATGACTTGAGAACCAAGAACCCAGAATCAAGAACGAAGAACTAAAATTGTATTGAGTCAGTCTTAATGTGATCAAGACCGGCACAAAATTCCAAATCTTGGCTCTCTAGGCTCAATTCATAAAAATCTCTTTTACATGTTAAAAAATATTTTTCTTAAGTTTAAACTTGGGTCAAAACACTTGGAGTTCGCCCAAGCCAAAAACCAAGCCATCCGGCGTTCGGCTTTCAGAAACCGGCATTCGGCTTTCGATTTTCGGTATTGGTTTTTGGCGTTCGAACCAACCAAGTGGTTTTCAACTTTTTATGACTGGTTTTTACCTCTGGGCATATTTAATTAGCTCTCCAACAAAAACGCCTCAAAAACCACTCTCCGTTTTTTGTCGTTTAGTAAAAACCATGCGAAACGGCATGAACTTGGTTAGCCGTGGTTTTCAACTAAATGACGTGGTTTTCAAGATGTTTTACTTGTTCTCTTAGCAAAATGCAATAAACAAATGTTTTCTAAACTTGGTTTTTATTTTGGAGAACTTGCATTTTTGACATCGGCTAACGGCGTGACTAAACCAACCATGGGTCTGGCTAAACTAGCCCAACAGCGATGTGGAGGTAATCAACAGCGCTGTCTGGACTGGGTAGCTAAAAACATGGTTTGGCGTTAAGTCTTCCAATAGCGATGTTGGTCACTAGACATTGCTGTTGAGCCAAGGTTGGATTTCCAGAAACTTCTGGAACAGCGCTGTAGGCTTCCCTACACCGCTGTCCAACCTAAGCCAAAAATATAGTGCATTGGCAGAAAGTTTTTGGACAGTGATGTTGACCCAGCAACAGCGCAGTCAGGCCAAACTTCCATCTCCAAAGGCAGACCTAAACAGCGATGTTCTAGTATAGAACATCGATGTAGAGACCTGACCGTTGGAAGGAATTTAAGGCTAAAACTTTCCTTGTTTGGAAGTCAACAGCCAAAACAGCGATGTAGGGGTTTTGGACATCGCTGTTGGCATGACCGTTGCTTCCCAATTTTTAAAAATCAAGCCTAGAACAGCGATGTCCAAGCCTAGGACAGCGCTGTCTGGGTGAATTTCAGCAGATCCAATTTTAATCAAATCCCACAAATTATGCCAATCACCCCTTAAATACTTTGGTCCGTTGGAGCCTATTTTTCTACTATAAAATGGGGTGTTTGGGTCTGTTTTACACAACACATTACTTCACAACTCCTACTCTTTCATTGCAAATCATTCTTCAATTTTTCATAGCTTTTGAGAGCCATTTTTGTGAAGCCTGTGTTGTGTTCTTGAGCGTTCTTACTTTACTTATTATCCACTCTAAAAGAGAGTATTGTTCTTGAGTGTTTTTAGTGTTCTTAGACACTTGACAAGAGAAGGTATTTCTCTTGTTGTTCGAAGGAAGGGTTGTTTCCTTCGAAGGTTCGTGTGACTCGAATTCTCAAGTTGTACGGGTTTGTTAAGCACCGTTATGCTTAACGAGATAGTAGTGTAGCTCGAGAGAGTCTCTCGGGAGGCTGGACTAGCCACAAGTTGTGGTGAACCAGGGTAAAATCGGTGTGCCTCGTTCTTTTCTCTTTACTTCTCGCTTATTCATTTTTATTCCTGCGATTTCTTGATCAAACGCTATTCACCCCCCCTCTAGCGTTGGTCTATTATTCTAACAATTGGTACTGGAGCCTAACTCGCGTCCAAACTTAACCGTTTGAGAATAAAGCGATCATGGGCTCTACTTCTAGAAATCTCTATGCAGGAATTGGAGAAGGTCAATCAACCTCTAGGCCACCACTCTTTGATGGCACCAACTAATCTTATTGGAAGGAACGGATGAGAATCTATATTCGTTCCACCAACTTCCAATTGTGGTTGGTGATCAAAAATGGCGAAGAAATCCCTATGAAGAAAGTGGGAGAAACCACGGTCCCAAAGACTGAAAACGAATTTGATGCCAAGGACATCAAGAAGATTGAAAACTATGCAAAGGCCATCAATATGCTATATTGCGCGGTCAACCCCGATGACTACCGAAAGATCTCCTGTTGCACAACCGCCAAGGAGATGTGGGACAAGCTTGAAGTGACGTACGAAGGTACCGATCAAGTTCGCGAAGCCAAGATCGACTTTCTCACCCAAGACTACGAAATGTTCCGGATGAAAGAAGGTGAGAAAATTGATGACATGTTCGACCGGTTCTCAAAGATCATCAACGATCTTCATGCTCTCAAAAAGACCTACACCAACAAGGATCTTGTGAGAAAAATCCTGCGGAGTCTCACACCCGAATGGAGGTCAAAAGCCGATGCAATCTACGAATCCATCAGAGTCTCCAACGTCACCATCGACGGGCTAAGAGGTAATCTTAAAACCTATGAATCTACTATTCTAACCCCGTCTTTGGATGAACAAAAGAAAAAGGGGATAGCTCTCAAAGCCACCAAGGAACCGGTGGAAGAGG